GTCTTTTTGAGACAGGGTCTCCCTGTAGCCCCAGCTGTCCTGGAACTCACTATGGAGACCAGGCAGGCCTTGAACTTACAGAGATCCACCTGCCTCTGCCTCCCGAGTGCTGGGATTAAAGGCTTGTGCCACCTTGCCTGGCACTTCACTGTTTTTTAAAAAATAATGTATTATTTTTATTTTATGTGTATGAGTGTATTGCTTGCATGTATATGAGTGCACCATGTTGTGCAATGCCTTGGAGGTCAGAAGAGGGCATCAGATTACCCTGGAACTGGAGTCAAGGATGGTTCATAGCCACCATGTGGTTGCTGGGAAACAAACCCAAGTCCCCTGCAAGAGCAGTCAGCACTCTCAACCACTAAGGCATCTCTCTAGCCCTATCTTATAATTGTAATGAATGCCGTTTAATATAAACAGTTAACATTTAAAGGTTTTGTGGAATACTTAATAGACCCAAAGATATTAATAGGTTTTTTTGTAGATGTTTACTCAAGTTTATAATGTAGTATGTATTTATCAGGCTTTTTAATACATTAGCAAAATACATTTATAAATCTGCACATGTGCATTTTAATCTTGCATGCCAAATAATAATAATAATAATAATAATAATAATAATAATGCTTGTGCACAATAAAAATAAGAAGGAAGGAAAAAAATAACATAACTGAAGTGGCCAGTTAAAACATTGTCTTGACACATACAACACGTGAAAACCATTATCATACACACAACACAAGGACATGAAATCCAGGTGCACCAAAGAGTGAGAGAAGGCAGAAAGCTTTTATCTCCGGTTCTTTAATATGTTAAAAAAAATGACTTAGTGGCCTAAAAGAAAGGGTGAAATTTGCAGTATAGACTTAAGGTAATTTTTCTTTCTGTTTTTAAGAGCTAAATAACTGAAGGGTATTATAAATAAAACTCATTATCTAAGAACCCTATCAATACCTCACCCAGAACAGGTGGAGAAAGCAATAGTAACTTGGTAAAGCAGATTTCATTTTTGCATAAGGGTGCACTGCATGGTCAGTCAGATCCAGTTTAAGACTCTGCCCAAAGAGAGGAACTCTAAAGAACTCAGCTGCCCCAGGCCATCAGGTTCAGGAATGTTTCAGGTGGTGCAAGGTATGGTGGGATTAAAGGATTAGAATTTCTTGTCATAAGTTTTGCATGTTTTGAAAGAGAAGACTAATATTTAATATCTCTTGGGGGGGTGCCTTTATATGTGAAACCAATAGAATTCCCTTTGTCTAGGCTATTAGTATAATATAAATCAGAGGCCATAGCACGGACAGTACAGGAAACATTAAGACTTTAGGTTAAGAATAACATGTTATAGTCATCACAGGCTGTTCTCTCAGAGGCAAGGGACTGGCTTAGGGCTTCTTGGGAGTCAGCTCTTTTCATGTATCCCAGAAAAAAAACACATATTGTTGTATCTGACTCAGGTAGCAAACTATGGATGACTTGAGCCTATAGGATTTTTAAGTGTTTTTGTTTGTTTGTTTTTATTTTGTTTTTCTAGAGAAATAGAAGCAAAGGAACCCAAAGTGTTTAGCAGGGTACATCATATAGGTGACAGATGAGAAACTCCCCAATGTTTCAAGATGAATCTCACGAGGAGACCCAGATACTTCAGGACTGACTGAGAGAGCTGTCACTGGCCATCATTAGGAGACTGAGGAGTTCTAAGCCACAGTGAACTCTACTTAAACCAAACCAGCATTCCTGACTTTAATTACTGAAGGAATTTTAAGAATAGCTAGTACAATAAAGACAATTTTAATGTAGACTTAGATAGGAGAGTTAAGGACAAACAAGTTGCTCAAAGGAAGAGAA